TTACTACGTTTCTTGAACGTGGTATTTGCGTTGCTGTCTATGAAAGGTCAGAAGGCTCTCGGATTACATCAAAAATATCTTAATTTGTGTTCCGAAGATGAACGAAGGTCTTATGGATTTGAAACGACATGAGGGTGAGCAATTATTGACAATTTTCATTTTTGGGTGAACTATCCCTTTAATCATCGGACAGTAATCATATAGGCCTATAGCTGAGATTCCAATTTTCTGTAATACACATTATTTAATCTTTAATTGTGCATTTCAAAAATCATCGTCCCTACTCTACATGAACGTAGGCCTATACACAAGATATAAACTCAAAGTTTAACTCCAGCAGCAAAACAAATACACTTAAAGACCACCATTCATAATTTGTTTAGCAAAAAACAGGCAGGAATGACTGAAATTATTCAGGCCTACTGGAGCAGACCACTGGGGTGAGAGATTGAGGGTCCCTCGCTCTTCCTGTTAATCTAATTATCTAGACAAAAAGCTGCTTCTGAGCCAACGATCGTACAAAGAGAAACAAATTTCAAAGTGAGCAGCAAAAGGGCAGCGCGCATATCAGAGCGATTCCACAGTTTCTGTCCACAAGGGGTGTAATGAACAATATAGATCGAATAATACCCAGTTGTTGTCATTTTTTTATTTTTAGTTCACTATTTTGTTTAAGATAGATGTAAGAAATAATAAAGTTAATTTTATCCCACTAAGCCTTGGCATTATCGTGTAATGAGACTTTATTTTATTTCCGTCCCCAGAAATTGCGGATGTCAGGGTGGGACATTCAGTGCATCTGGATTTTTCCTAAGTCATTTCTTTCATTTCCTTTAATAAAATCCTGAATTTTGGCGCATAACATTTATTTTGGTGTGTCTTCTACAAAATACTACTACTAACAAATAAACTGTCGGCGTTAATCGCATAGGTTTTTAAACAACAGTGAATTGGGCTATAATGTTAAGGAACACACGCAGATTTTCTGCACTGACGGCACACAATAAAGCTAGTTTAAACATTAGCTTTGTGGTAAAATGAAGCTCCACAGCCTGTCAAGTGTACCTTCATCATGTCCAAATTATGTAGGCCACTGGCGATGCGCTATGGCGTTATTTTAATGACAAATGTCGAGAGCACATTATTGTAGCGTGAAAGCACATTAATATAATGCGCGAGACCAAGGAATGAGAATGGTCCAGATGTGGTTTCAAGAACAAGTAAAGCTGCTGCTGGAATGCGGAGGTACCGGCTAAGTTAAAGCAGAACCCTGAATTGTACTGCATAGATTGGAAGAGCAACAAAGATTGAGGGAGTACAGGAAGAATCTATCAGATGAAAAGAAGGAAATCCAGAAAGCACAAGCCCGTGAAAGGATGAGAAGGTATAGAGAACGCCAGAAAGAGAATCTTCAAGGGGGTGAGGAAACACAAGGTGTCATGTCAAGAAAGCCTCAAACTAGGAGTGAACTGGAAAAAATAGCCGCAAGAAGGGAATACTTTAAGAACAAGAAGCGTGAACAGAGAGCTAGGATGTCTGCACAAAAGAAAAGACAAGAGAGAGAAAAGGATCGCAACAGGAAAAGGGTGTTAGCAGAAGCGAAGAAAGCCTCAAGCATCAATAACAATCCACCTAATCACACGGGGGCTGCAACACCTGCTAATCAGGAATCTAATCCGGTTCAAATACAGTGTCAGCTAAATGCAACACCTGTTTTGTCTACCAGTTCTGGGTACAAAACTGATTTTTCTAGAAGGAAGGCAACCTGGAGGATAAAAAGGCTTATGCCAAAAAGTTCAACAGAAGTATGGCACAATAGTAGCTGGCTTAGTTGCCTCTGCAAGCCTGCGAAAAAAAACTGCTCTCCATGACATGATGCTTGGCGGTAAGGACAAGGATGTGGATTCTGTTTTAGGATATGTGAAGCAAACATGCAAACAGATGTCCACAGCCAATAGAAGAATGTTTAATGCCAATCTTGCAGCCATCCTTGTATCTGCCAGTAAGCAAGTCAGGGATGCCTCTAGCAGAAAGTTAGGAATATCACAGAAGATCATTAGGAAATATGACCATCTGAGAAAAGCAGGGCATGATCCAGAACAACGTAAAAAACGTTGTGATGCAGTAAGTGATGCAATTCGGCTTTCTGTGCAAGAATTTTTGAGAAGATCTGATGTATCAACCACACTGCCTCACAAGAAAACAGTCAGCAAACGAACTGGCTTACAGAACCAAATCCTGCAGAAAAGCATGAAGTCCACATACTCTGCCTGGCAAAATGAGAATCCCAACATGAAGTTGTGCTTCAGCAAGTTTTGCACACTCCGACCAAGCCACATTTTGCCCTATGTAAAAGCCCATTTGAACCAATGCCTTTGTGAATATTGTGAGAATATGGACTTGAAGTTAAAGGTGATAAACCAGGTTGTCCAAGCAAAAAATCTGGACTGCAAAATCAGAGATCGATACCATGCAAGTGACATCACCATCTGTCCACCTTCAGATGATGCCAGAAAGCTTCAGGAAGGGGGCGTGGTGAAATCTGCAGCAGCTCGTACCGTCAAAGCTAGTGATGAAATCATCAACTCTCCAGAATCTTTCTTTAGATTTTGTGAGAAAGAACTGTCAAAGCCCGCTCTTCTAGATTCTGGTACTTGCAGTCATTCCAGGCGATGTTTCTACTTTGTACCTCTTGAGCAAGTTGTTCGTGAACGTCAAGACCGGGTTGATGTTGGGACTGTTCCATGGACAAGACAAATTCATGTTGTTCGAGGTCGTGAGCCGTACAGTGTCCAGACTCGCAGGTTGTCCTGCTTCTGCAAAGCATGTGAAGAGGGCAGAGGAGAGTGTGCTGATAGGTCATACACAGGTCCCTGGGTTGATAGGGTAATCAAGCTGAAGAAACAGCCAGATGCAGATCCATCCCTGGACATCTGGCTATTGTCCTTGCAGTTAGGCCTAAACTGTGGAATCGCCCATCAGCGGTGAACAAAAAAAAGAGCAGGCCCACACACACACATAGCTGGCCTATCATCCATCCTGCTGAGACCGAGCGGTGCACAGTGGATTGCGGATCTCTTTTATCTCACACCCCAGACTAAACCTCTGCTGTACACCTGTGGGGGATGGGGAATAGAGAAGAGAGAAAGTGGCCAGATAAACTTGAGGTTGCAAAAATCAGCATCTAATGACTCATGAACTGAACAGCCTAACAATAAGCTCCTCTTGAGCCTGCACTTAAAACAGAGGCTTTCAAAAAAAGCTCCATTATCCTCATCTAAACAAGGCTGAACCTTACTTTCAGATTAAAGGCCATTTTCTGATTAAATTTTCATTCGAAAAAGACATTTACATGCTCAACAGCCATTGGAATATTCCTGCATAAATGTAATAAGAACAAACTAAAGGGGCAACCAAACTGCACTTTTCCATTTATACACATGCGAATGTGGACGACTGGAAACAAGCTTTCGTCGTGTTTCAAAGGTCAAGTCTAGTGAAAAAATTCATATCACATGATTAAGTGTGACTAAAAGAAAATCGATATGTCAAAGCATGATCATGATACTTTGTAGGGTTGGAAATAATGAAGATGCTTTTTACATTTTATGCTGAATTCCAGTCATTTAATTCTGTTTAATTCTCACTCATCTGCAAGTTATGTAAAACAACAGTAAATATTTGTAAAAATAATAGTAAAACAAAATATCACTCACTATCTGATATTACTCAGATTTCCTGTGGGTTTTACTATAGGCAAATATAAATTGGCATTCATTTATGGTGGGTATTCTGAAGGTCCAAAAAATGATTTCTAGGTTTCTAGAAACCAGAGTATCTGCTTAATTAATGCGTTTATACTTTTAAAATCAATACGACCAACTTATGATTAATGTTTTATCATGGTTAAGTGATAAATGCATGGTTAAATGGTTTACTGGTTAAATGCATTATTATGCATTTAACCAGTAAATTACAGAAACACATCATCAATAATCAGGTTAATGATTGATATTTAGATCAATTTGAGTTCAACTTTTACATTCGGATGCCTACATCTTTGAATATGTTGGTACATCCTAGCCACTAAAGATCTGATCTTATATCAGTTATTGTGAGATCACAATTTTAAAGCATTTCTCAGGACGGCTGCCAAAGCAGGTTTTCCACTTTAGTCTTGTGATCAAGGAGTGCCTCTATAAACCAGGACCGACCCTGGTTTACAACCAGACTGACCCAGACCAAATGGCTCCAGCTGCATTGCTCATAAGATCTTGTAAACCACCCTCCAATCTGACAGTGTTTACATATATGACAGTGGCTTTAAGACAAAGCATCCAAATCCACAGCCAGACTGCACTACATGATCCGAGCCTTTTAATAAACTTCCTTCAGAAATAATCACAGGATAATAACCTCTGTTTCTCCAGGCCAGCATGCACACACGTGTATTGAATACACTGGAGAAGAAATGGGAGAGTCACAGTAAAAAACAACAATATGTAGAGATGAGACCTGCAGCCATGTGTGGAGATGAGCTGAAGAAGCTGGTTGAAAAATGCCCCCATCAGGGTATCTTCATCTGCACTCCATCACACAGTTACTACACCCTACATACAACACACATTACCTCAGCACTCTCAAGGTCCAGAGAGTCCACTATATCGGTGAGTTTTACCTCAGAAATTCAGTTTTTAACCTGCTGTCAGTGATAACACGGCAGCAACCGTTAGCCGTGTGCTAACTAACGTTACACCAGTAAATCAGAGCTGAGCTTTAGCTGCAATCTCTTGCGTGGCCTCCTTCCACGAATAAACGACTAGAGGAGGGTATTATAACAGTTACCGAGGCGAAAAGACCGTTGAAGTGACCGTTGCCTTGTGCTAAACAGCATAACGTTACTCGTAACGTAAATTCGCACGAAGCGCGCCCTGAAATGCAGCGGCCGCAGTCACTGTCAAAAAAAGGACAATCGGCCCGAGACACACAACCACTCTTACCTCATCATTCAGTTTCCATTATATCTCCAGCACTCTGTGAGGGAACACGCTAGAGGAGCATGGAATGGCAGAAGGAGGACTCTTCTTTCTTCTTTTTTTTTAACGTGCGAGATAAATTCCAGGCTTATTTCGTTGCTCCTTCTGGCTCCTCGTTTCTGTCCTTGCAGCTTCGCGAGTAGTGAAGTAAAGAGGGGGGAAATGAAACGTGCGCACGTCATTCAGGCATCGGCGTCTGCGCGTTTACTGCAGACAGGGGGCGCAATGCGGCCCAAACCCAGTAGAAAGTCAGTAGTGTTCTAATATTCAATGTATTGACAACTAGAGTTTATAGATTTAGATGCGTATATATTAGTGGAATGGAAATTTAAAAAAAACTTTTTTTCTCCACACATACAGTAAAGTAGAAAACATATTTTCAATATTTTTATTTGTAATATTTCTACGGTTATTAAAGTAAATTACTTCACTCTTAATCAGCACACTCTGCTCTTAATATCAGTTCATTCTCGGCTAATTACGAATCGGTCCGAAAGTTCTAGCTTCACGTGAGAGTCGTTCACTCGAAGAACGAAGAACGGCCTTGACAGATTCATTTTAAAAGAACGATTCGTTTACGATTCAGGCATTGCTAGCTCAGAAAGCTGAGCCCATCGACTTCTCAGGACGTTACTGCTGTGTTTTCATTTAATGTTACATTTCATTGATTTATTTCATTATTTCTTGATTTAAAATGTATTTATATTATTTAGATTACTTCGGTCTCTGTATTTTAGATTCACTGAGGACATATATTTAGTGGAAATAAACAAGTGGTTATCTAACCTAAACCCTCACATCGGATTGTGCTGTCAGATATTCTCGTTTCCCTTCTGTGCGTTTATATTTCTACTCCACCTACGTCACACAGGAGGAGTCACGTGCAGGAAATGAACAAAACACTACCGCAGTCGTCTATATGTTGGTAGGTTCAAAACAACTCTTGCATACAAAAATATTATATAGCATAACATAAGAAGATATTATAACACCGATCTTGATGCTTTAAACAGAGAATCGCGATAGGGATATTGCAAAGTAAAACAAGTAGCTCAGTTAGTATGCAATCGTATTGATTTGGATCTTATATTCTTTAACTTGCACAGTTCAAGTGCAAGCACACACAAAATGTGGTGAATTTCTTTAGAGAGTGTTCTGTATTGCATATTATTATAATAATAGTATTAATACAGTATTTCATTCAGCTTGTTGCTGTTGCTTGTGTTAATCTTTCATTGGGCATCTGATTACAGAGCAGCTAGAATTGCCATGAAGGGACTTTACTGCAAACCAGGAGACCAGGGTGATGTGAAGTTTGTCTCACATGCGATGGTGAGAGTGCATGATCATGCTTTTGCATTTTCTGTTGCATGCGTTTACATAGCCACAGTTTCCTGGAGAAATCTGTAATTAGCAATTCGTACTAATTACATGATGTCTGCTGTTTTCTTTCACAGAATGTACCCACTAACATTGGCGACCATCAGGTCAAAGTTCAAGTGAAAAGCTGTGCACTAAGTCCAGTTGATTTTAAGGTAATTTAAATGTCAACATCTGGTGATTTGATGTGAATGACCTGCAGAAAAGCAACTGGGTATATAATAGCAAATCTCAAAGCATGTGTCTCATATGGACATTATTTAGGCAAAGATCACCCTCATTTCACAAACTGTGTTTTACTTTCATACAGAATATTTGCATTCATGATCTGTTTTTCAGCTGTATGAGGACCTCAAGCTTGAGAAAGAACATGTCCCAGTTGGAAGGGAGATTGCTGGGGTTGTTCTTCAAGGTTTACATGACTACTTGTATATTTGACACCATTACCATTTACCATCGAATCAAATAAATTTGACTGATAAATCTGATGTGATGCGATCATTTTCCAGTTGGACCCAAAGTGACCTTTTTCCAGCCAGATGATGAGGTTGTTGGTAAGAACTTTATTAGACTCTCATTTTTATCAGAGTCTGCTTTATATGTGTATAATCAAATAAACATTTGCATGTCATCTCAGGGATTCTCCCTCTGGAGGCTGAGCGGTCTGGCCTTTGTTCTGTTGTGGTTACTGATGAATATAATTTAGGTATTGCACACATCACATTATAAACAATAGTCCTACGTAGTTTCTTAAAGATACACTACCTTTTGTATTTCCCATATGCTTTTGTTTTAATAACAGTTCAGAAGCCTGAGAAAGTGAGCTGGTTTGAAGCAGCAGCAGTAATTAAAGACGGTCTCAGGGCTTACACTGCTCTCCACACACTGGCTCGGATGGCTGCGGGTCAGACTGTACTGGTGCTGGATGGGGCTGGTGTAGGTATCTGTGCAGAGGTCAAAAGGTCAAAAATCTTCCTGATGCTTGCCTCCTATTAGTATATACTCTACTGTTCAGATTTGGGGTTGGTAAGATTTCTTTTTTCCCGGTCAGTTTTGTCATTCTGATATTTTGAAAATGGATTTTGTTGTTATTATTTAGCTATTTTCTCACATCAGAATCAACATGGTACTTCTACAAGCATTATTTGGCTCCCTATTTTCAAAATCTCAAATCATTATAATTAACTTCCTGTTTTGTGTGCATGCAGCCCTTTGGAGTTCTGGCTATTCAGCTCGCCCACTATCACGGTGTGAAAGTCCTGGCTACAGCTTTGTCTCCGGAGGACCAGAAGTTTTTGGAAGAGCTCCGTCCGAGTGTGGGTGGGTGCTGAAGTGAAGCATTGTGGAGAGGAATGACAGCGAAGACATTTTCCCCATGAAGTTTAGGATGAAGTTCAAGCTTGGTTTGACTAAGCGCTTCCCTGGCAGTGTAGATTTATGAAACACTTGGCATGAGTTGTTCTGAAAATCCCTGATAAACGCCAAACAAACGGAAATGCCAAATGGAGCAACTCTCTTTTAATCTTCAGTTGTTATCTCTTGTAAAGTTTACCTTTCATATTTACGGTACGCAATGTGGATTTATTTCCTGAGCATATGAAAAGCATCACACTGGTATCATTTTATGTACAAGTGGAAAGTCTAAAATCTATTCAAGTCTAATCGAATGTAGAAATCTTTAAGTTTGGATTGTCGCCAAGGGCATTTTCTCATACTTCAAAGATGTGTTGTAATGCTGGCAGTTCAGTTTCTAACCCCATCCTTTACTCTGGAAATCAAAACTGATTTCATTTGTCGTAGATTTCTGTCTTTCTTTAAACTCACTCATATTGATTGCCAAACCTTTTCTGATAGTGCCTTTCTCATCTTTTCACTTCTCCCTTGAGCATCTTTTTGTCTTTCTTGGCTATTTGACTTTCTTTTTCATCTTGTTTCTTCCTTGTGCCACTTGCACTTGCTCAAGGTGTGCAGGAATCACTTTTGGGTAAGTTATTTATGGCGGCAGTCTCTTCTACAAGTGTTCATTCAGACTATCATATTCACATAACCCTCACAACAGATCTATTATTTGAGAATAGTCATTCGATATATGCACTCTCAGCTTGATATGCTTAATCAATGTTAATAAGATTTATTGTAAGCATCGGTACTTAAGTGTATCTCTTCCTTCAGCTCGAGTGATCAGAGTGTGGGACTCAAAGGAGGATTTGGTGGACTCGTGCCTTGAAGAAACTGGAGGTCTTGGAGTGGACATCATCATTGATTCAGGAGGTTTACCATCACTTTATATGACATTTGTAACCATTTCAACAAAGTGGTCTCATATGTGCTTTTAATTATTTATATTAATACTGATCTTCTGTCCATTAAGCAGTTGTGTTGCAATATCAATTTATTATTTAAATGCTGGGAATACATATTTTACTGTTCAAAAGTTTGGGGTTGGTAAGATTTTTAATGCTTTTGAACAAAGTCTCTTATGTTCACCGATGCTGCGTTTATTTGATCAAACTACAGTAAAAACAGTAATATTGTGAAATACTTTTTATTTTGTTTTTATTTTAGTATGTGATGGCAAAGCTGAATTTTCAGCAGCCTTTATTCCAGTCTATACGGTCACATGATCCTTCAGAAATGATTTAAATATGCTGAAGAAACTTATTATTTATTATGTTGAAAAAGTTGCATTGATTAATATTTTTGTGGAAACATTATACAAATATTATACTTTTTTTTCAGGATTCTTTGATGAATAGAAAGTTCCAAAGAGCAGCACTCATTTGAAATAGAGTTTTTTGTAACAATGTAAGAGACTTTACTGTCATAAAAGTAAAGACCTTGCTGTTACTTGCTAAATAAATGTATTATTTTTATTTTTAAAAATTGTATTGACCCCAAACGTTCAAACGCAGTGTATACATATTCATTTTCAATCAGCAGTCTCTGATTTTGAGCCTTTTTTTTTTTTGTGAACAGTGAGACTCTATGATGAGGAGCCAGAAGCACAGAGGCATTGCCCACATAAACATGACCTCCTTACCCTTCTTTCAGTTGGAGGTCACTGGGTCACCACAGAACAACACTTACAGGTTAGCAATAGCAGCTTCTTCAAAACACAGCTCACTGATCTCTTTTGTATTCCTAAACATTCAGCATTTTTTTGTCCTCATATAAATCAAATATTGACTAGCAGGATCAATCTTTACACTTATATACATTTAATAAAATCATTTTTATCCTCTTTTCCAAGCTGGACCCTCCTGACAGCCACATTCTCTTCCTGAAAGCAGCATCTCTCTCGTTCCTTAACGACGAGGTGTGGACAACATCCCGTGCCAAGCAGGGCCGATATCTTCGTATCTTTTACTATAAACTACATTAGTCTTTAACCAAACACTGCCTTCTGATTGGTCCGGTTGTATTACAAACAATTCAAGCTTCAGCTTTGTTTATCAGCCTTGAAATATCAAATACTCAATGTTTCCAGCTCAGTCGAGTATCATTTATATTTATGTATTAAGCAGATGTTTTTATCTAAAGTGTCTTATACAGTAGACACATTTTGTTTTGTATGTTACTTGCCATGAAGGCTAGTCTCAACATAGACCCATCAACATGACTCTGGCCCTTATTCTTTACACAAAACACTGCTTTACTCTCCAGTGGAATGAAGAAAAGAGATCTGACTAGATGGTATCAGAGCCATTTTTTGTGAAACCGCTATATGTTGCAATGAGGTCACTGGGTTCCTGAGTGTGCATATGGCTAGTCCATGACAGTTTGA